TTTTATATATACAGTGGGGAGAACAAGTATTTGATACACTGTTGATTTTTCAGGTTTTCCCTCTTGCAAAGCTTGTAGATGACTGTAATTTTTATTATAGGTACTCTTCAACTGTGAGTGATGGAATCCAAAACAAAAATCCAGAAAAATACAATGTATGATTTTTAAATAATTAATTTCCATTTTATTGTGTGAAATAAGTATTTGATACACCAGAAAAATGAAACTTAATATTTGGTACAGAAACCTTTGTTTGCAATTACAGAGATCAGACGTTTCCTGTAGTTCTTGACCAGGTTTGCACACACTGCAGCAGGGATTTTGGCCCACTCCTCCATACAGATCTCCTCCAGAGCCTTCAGGTTTCGGGGCTGTCGCTGGGCCACACGGACTTTAAGCTCCCTCCAAAGATTTTCTATGGGATTCAGGTCTGGAGACTGGCTAGGCCACTCCAGGACCTTAAGATGTTTCCTACGGAGCCACTCTTTAGTTGCCCTGGCTGTGTGTTTTGGGTCGTTATCATGCTGGAAGACCCAGCCACGACCCATCTTCAGTGCTCTTACTGAGGGAAGGAGGTTGTTGGCCAAAATCTCACGATACATGGCCCCATCCATCCTTCCCACAATATGGTGCAGTCGTCCTGTCCCCTTTGCAGAAAAGCATCCCCAAAGAATGATGTTTCCACCGCCATGCTTCACGGTTGGGATGGTGTTCTTGGGGTTGTACTCATCATTCTTCTTCCTCCAAACATGACGAATGGAGTTTAAACCAAAAAGTTCTATTTTTGTCTCATCAGACCACATGACCTTCTCCCATTCCTCCTCTGGATCATTCAGATGGTCATTTGCAAACTTCAGACGGGCTTTGACATTTGTTGGCTTGAGGAAGGGCACCTTGCGTGCACTGCAGGATTTTAATCCTTGACGGCGTAGAGTGTTACTGATTGTTTTCTTTGAGACTGTGGTCCCAGCTCTATTCAGGTCATTGACCAGGTCCTGCCGTGTAGTTCTGGGCGCATTCCTCACCTTCCTCAAGATCAATGATGCTCCACGAGGTGAGATCTTGCATGGCGCCCCAGACCGAGGGAGATTTTCCGTTATTTTGTATTTCTTCCATTTTCTAATAATTGCACCAACTGTTGTTGCCTTCTCACCAAGCTGCTTGCCTATTGTCCTGTAGCCCATCCCAGCCTTGTGCAGGTCTACAATTTTATCCCTGATGTCCTTACACAGCTCTCTGGTCTTGGGCATTGTGGAGATGCTGGAGTCTGATTGATTGAGTGTGTGGACAGGTGTCTTTTATACAGGTCACGAGTCCAAACAGGTGCAGTTAATACAGGTAATGAGTGGAGAACAGGAGGGCTTCTTAAAGAAGAACTAACATGTCTGTGAGAGCCAAAATTCTTACTGGTTGATAGATGATCAAATACTTATTTCACACAATAAAATGGAAATTAATTATTTAAAAATCATACATTGTATTTTTCTGGATTTTTGATTTAGATTCCATCACTCACAGTTGAAGAGTACCTATGATAAAAAATACAGTCATCTACAAGCTTTGCAAGTGGGAAAACCTGAAAAATCAACAGTGTATCAAATACTTGTTCTCCCCACTGTATATATATATATATATATATATATATATATATATATATATATATATATATATATATATATATAAAAACTTACAAATGCGCGTTATTTTGGAAGGAGCTGATTTCTTGATTGGTGGGGTAGTTTTGGCCGAGGTGTTTGCAGCCACTGGTTTGGGCATCACTGCTGGGGTTGAAATGGTTGAAACTGAGGAAGACACGGACGACGGGACTGTAGGTTTCCCTGCTGTTGAGACTGTTATAGCTGGAGCAGAATTGTTCACCAGCACTGGTTCAGTGGATGGTATCGGTTTTCCAAGCTTGGTGTGAAGTTTCACAACCTTTTCATAAACGACAAAAAAGGAGAAAGATTTTCATCAGTTTAAGGCAGTAGATTATTAATCTCTTTTCAAATCCCTCAGGGAGGTTTTGTTCCTAGTCTTGGCATCTTACATAAAGCTTGTCAGCACATCACACGCATGCTCAGTAACAAAAGCATACCAGCTGTTTGGACTTTATGAAATATCAATTATTAAAGGACATTAGAAAGAGAAAAAAAATGAACAAATGCTTTGCTTACCTTCTGGTGTTTAGCCCCACGAATATGTGCAGCATAGGCGTCCACTCCAGTGCACGATACATCACATAACTCACAGCGTAACTGGGTCTGGACTCCTCTGGGCCCGTTGTTGGTCCCACTCTGTGTCCCTGCCTTTAAGGCTGCTTCCTTTTTCTTATGTTTCTGGCCTTCATTATGTTCCCGGTAGGTCTAATGCAGTAAATCAAACCAGTCAGATTAATAGCAAAAATCAAAGTATATCTGCTGTTAAATTACCTGAATATTAAATATGTTACTTTGTATTAAATGTCAACAATTCATATGTATTTTCCTATTTGTTGATACACTGCAATGCAAATTAGAGCCATTCTGTTACAATATCTCAATATTTGGACTATTAATTGTTTTTTATTGCTTACCAGAGGGCCTGCACAGCTGATCTTGCAAATGTCACAGTAATGAAGCTGAGTCTGCTTGGGAGGCCCTTTAGGCCTCAGCAGTTTGTTCTGGTGAAAAATGGGCTTTTTATATGTGTTTATGGTCGGACCCGTAACCATGTTGCTCCCTGAGTTACTCCAAGAGGAACTTGTCAATTGCTTGTGTAGTGGCTGAACAGTGGTCTGAGGTTGATGGGGCTGCTGAGGTGGAGGCTGAGGCTGGGAGAGAGCCTGCTGAGTCTGCTGGTAATAGGATGGGGTGGATGCAGAGGTGTAGCCAACAGAATCATAGCCAGGGTAGCCAACGCCTGGGATTGAGAAAGCAACAAGAAAGGATCGAGAACAGTTTTTAAAGAAATGAAAGAAGGAAATGGATCAAACATGATGAGTTGCAAAAAAATGCAAGTGGATCATTGTTTTTCTCCTGGGACAACAAAAGGACTGGCATAGTGTGACCAACATGTAGAAGGGAAACTATCAATCTTTTAACTTACAAGGTACTAGAGTGTCTATATTTGAGCCAGCCTGAAAGCAGAATGCAAACTGCAGTAAATAAATGCCATCAGCTTCTGTGTACAGGTAAATATACAGCAGTAAGCACAAACACAGTATTTTCACTGCAGCTGTATTGGATAGTGTTTCTAAAAGGAGTACCATGTTGTCCTTGTGAGACACTAGTACTATAATAGAAATGTAGCACAAATGGAAAAGTCACATTAAAATATCATACACAATTACCATTTAGAATGTGAATTACTTCAAGACAAAAATCTATTTGCCTTATCTGCTATCTTATCTCACCAGAGTAGGAGGAGGCTGAGACAGTGGAGTTGAACGATGAGCCGAGTGTGTAGGATGAAATGGGCGTTGGAGGCTGCTGGACACTGGTGGACATTGGGTAAATGTTATAGCTAGTAGACACGGCGTTGGTGGGGACTATGGGTTTCAGGGCAGTCACCTGCCTGTGAGGCAGAGGAGGCTGACTGTACACAGTGGAAGGAGCTGGGTTGTAAGCACTCTTCACTCCTACTGATATGAAAATGGAAGAGAGAAGCAGAAAATGGCAGAAATGGCATCACTGCAAAGAAAGACACACAATGAGACAGGTTTGCATCCTCTGGGGCTTCCAATTTCCAGCATTGGTAGGTGAGGCAAAATGATTTCAGTAACAAATGAGAAGAAACACATTCCTGCAAATGCTCTGAACACTTAACATTTATGTCCCTCAACCAACATCAACATGGAGTCGTTCTACATCTGTTCTGCAGCAGGACACCAAGTTAAAGCGCATTTAACAGTCTAAAGAATAAAATCTAGTGTTTATTTAATATATAAATATATTTTCATCTTTTTAGTTTAAAGTTTCTGACTGATTTATCGATAGAAAAAAATGACATATTTCACTGCCATGATTTTGTTAAATCACAATAAATGCTAAACAATACCAAAAAAAAAACCCTGCTGACATCTTTACTGCAGCAACTATCCTAAGATCACATCAATAAAACAGACGTCAATATGACAAGCAATATTAAAGAGCTCTATACTAAAAATACTAATAATGTTTCAAAATCTGAGCTAAATTTGAGATAATAAAAAGCAAAAGATAATAGTTGAGATAATAGAAGAAGTTATTTTGTGGGATAAACAACACAATGTTTCCTGGTACTTTTCTGCTCATGGCATGTTATAGTATATGCAGAGCTAAAATCAACTCATTATCTGTGCCATGCACAGGACAAAAAAAACAACAACAAAAAAAAAACATATCTTTCATTCAACAATAAATCCAACATATGACACAACATAAACATTAAAATTAGGTGACTTACCAGCCAGGTAGTAATTATCTGTGGATGTTCTCTGAGCTGGAGTTATACTCGTCTGGTAATACTGTTTGTTGTCATAAGTCGTCACAGCAGCAGGACAGACATAGCTATAGCTGTCCTGTTGACAAAACATCAAATCCAAATGTAACAAGTGTGTGGCATATTTTATGCCTTTCGACACATACAGCAATCTACAGCAATGGCCTGGACAAGCAGAGACCTTGTATAGTGTCTAGGGATGACACATATGTGCATAATATGTGTATCATGTTTCATTAAATTTCCTTTCTGAATCAGAAGTTATGGCCCAGACAAGGAAAAACCTTGTATAAAACTTTACCTTGATTTGTGACCTTGATCTTGGAGCTGGGGTGATGAAAAGTTATGCGACCCTCCACCTAGTGATGATATGTGTACGAATCTAAAAAGGTTAAATCTGGTCCTCTGGACATTCAAAACAAATAAAAAAATTTAAAATTGTAGAAACGTTTCGTCTTTCATCCGAAAGACTTACTCAGTCTGAGGTGCTGTATTCAACTCATTTTTATAAATAGCACCTTCTCGTAGTGGATCAACCAGTTTGCTGCTGACAACCAAAACCAGCTGCTCACATGGTCAAGAAGAACCATCAGCCTAACGATAAATCATTAGCACACTGATGGCTGTTTACTATTCACAGAGATACTAGCAATCACAGCATTGTAAGAGGGGGGCAGTTGAACCCGGAGGCCTCCACCCCTGTTCAATGATGGACGATTTCTTTTCACAAAGATGGCTTCCTTTACTCCTCTCTCAAACCATCGTTCCTCTCTGTCCAGGATGTGAACATCTTCATCCCTGAAAGAGTGACCGCTGGCCTGGAGATGAGTGTAGACCGCAGAGTCCTGGCCTGATGATGTTGATCTTCTGTGCTGGGCCATCCTTTTGGCCAGTGGCTGTTTAGTTTCCCCGATGTAAGACTGATCACAGCCCTCCTGACACTGAACAGCATACACAAAATTACTCTGTTTGTGCGGGGGGACTGGATCTTTGGGATGAACCAGTCTTTGCCGTAATGTATTTTGGGGTTTAAAAGCCACTGGGACGTTATGTTTAGAAAATAAACGTCTCAGTTTCTCTGATACTCCCTCAACATATGGAATGACCACTGGTCTGGGTCTGAGTTCCTCCTTTTCACCTCAGACTGAAGAAGTTTTTCGGAAGAAAGATAAAATGTTTCTACAATTTTTTTTAGTTTTTTTTTAGTTTTTTTTTTAATGTCCAGAGGACCAGATTGAACTTTTTTAGATTTTTCTAACTGGATTATTGAGCATGCATCAGGATATGTGTACGAAGTTTTGTCGAATTATCTTAAGCGAATCAGAAGTTACGTGCGGGACAAGCAAAGACCATGTTTTAACGTTGGCCTTGATTTGTGACCTTGACCTTAGAGCTGGGGTGATGACAAGAGTATGCAACACTCAGTCTAGGGATGATGCATATACAGTATGTAAGAAGTTTCATTGCATTATCTTGAGCAGATCAGAAGTTATGGATGGGACAAGAGAGTTTACTAATGGACGGAAACAAAACCATGATATGTCTGCTTTTCAAAGGGCGTATAAAAAGTCTATAACTTTAGCAAAACATGTCACAAACACATGTACCTGCATATATCTGTTTCACAATTATAAGTGTTAGTGAAAGTCAAGACACGCCTGGAGAAGACTAATGATGCAGTCCTGACATTTTTGTGGTCTAAATAATAATTTCACATTATTTGCACCAAAATGACAGCTGCTAAATAAAATCTAATGTGCAAAAAAGAGAACAAATTATAATTGAAGAAAAAAAAAAGACTGACCGTGCCCGAGTATACCTGGTACGTCTGAGGGGTGGTGGTGGGCTGTGGTGGATCTGGCTGCCTATAGGTGTAATCTGGAGGTGCTTGGTGGCTCTGATAGGTGGGGTAGGGGGCCGAGGCCACAGGTTGGGCTGCCTGGACTGGAGCTGGAGAGTAGGACGCAGTCGCTGCATGGGCCACAGCTGAAGCCTGCTGGACACTGTAGGTGGCTGTAGAGGGATGGGAGTAGGCCGAGGGAGGCTGGGTACTAAAAGAAAGCAAAAAAAAAAAAAAAAGAGAAACGGGTTGAGCTAAGGTGTAAAGAAAAAAAAAAGTAGCACGCCCATGTCATTCGTCATTGAGGGATTTGAATTGTGAATGTTTGTATTTTTCAAGATGAGCTGTTTACTGGACTGGAATTGAACAGAGAAGTAAACCTCAATGATTGTCGTACAAGATATTCGGGTAGGTAGGAGTTACACTGCATAAAAAGGAGGTAGGTATTTTTTGGCTTGCCCAAGGCAGCAGAGTGACGGATCCTGGCATGTGGTGTGAGCAATTTTATCCACCACCAAGCACAATAGCAGAGCCAGGAGTGGTCAGTGGTGGCTTTGGTCATCACAGATTAATCTTAGGCCACACCAATAATTTCAGAAAACTATAGTTTTAAGCAATACAAAACAAGAAAGCAGTTTTCTCAAATGAATGGTGTCAGTTTACATATATGTATGGCGGAGGCCATCTTAGATTTTGACATCACCATCAGGTTATTTCAATTTTTTTCAGGTTATTTTTGAATTCATCATGTCCTGGATGACTGAGAATCTTCACCAGCACCATCAGGTTATAAAAGCACACATGCAGTGAAAGTAATTTAAATACAATTTATTCTACTGAAACATGGCAGGAGTGGCCTACTATTTAAAGAGGTTTTAAGCTTGACTGGCTTAATTATTGTCTAAATATTAACTAAATAGATCCAGATGTATAATTCCATCACGTGGTTCTCTGAACATTTATCACACTCCAAAACACCCAAGTCCAACGCCATCCTAAACATTTCATCCGAATCAAACAGACCAAGAAATCAATCAATTTGTTTGGGCACCTCCACTGACCTGCATACCTGATCTGTTCTTAACCTGCAACAAAAGGGTTCCCAGGCCTCACAGTTAAATGTTCTTCTTTTTGTTTTAGATCAGGGGTCTGCAACCTTTACGATCAAAAGAGCCATTTCATTATCAACTGATGGAATATGGGACAGTTTAAGTTCGTTAGAGGTAGCTTTTCTCACCAGTAGGAGTGGAAAACTAAACACATCCGATGATTGTTAACATTTATTGATATTTTTACATTTTACGACAAAATAAAAGACTGGATTCCTTCCATCCGTCCATTCTTCCATCCATCCATCCATCGTCTTTACCTCTTTCTTTCTTTTTCAGGTTGCAGGTGATCATTTTGCCAATTAAAAAAAAAAAAAAAACAATGAACAGTGCAGGCATATGTGATTTTTTTAATGTACAGTAATTGTGCATTCTACTTTGAAGAAATAAAGCATAAAGTAAAAGTGAGTATAATTTACTCCATGTATTAGTGCTAGTTTCCACATACTGTATCTGCAAAGGAATTGACAGGAAAACGGCTAAAACTAGTCATTTTTTGTTGTGGGTATAACGTCCTATACATTTCAGTTTTATGACAGTTTTGGTCAAAGCTTGAAAGAGCTGCTGCAGAGGGACCAAAGAGCCGCATGTGGCTCCGGAGCTGCAGGTTGCAGATCCCTGGTTTAGACCAAAACATCCTAATCCAATACAAGCCTAATGTTAATTAAATAGTTCAAAGTTCACAACCCTCTTTAAGAGAAAAGACTTGAGTACTGCAGCAAATTTACATTTCTGTCATTTCTGTCATTAATTACAGATCATTGTTTTGTAAGTAAACTTAAGTAAGTAAACTTTATTTATATAGCACCCTTCATAGATAAAATCACAAAGTGCTTCACAGAAATGCATAATACAGGCTTAAAATAAAAACTAAAACAGTAGGAACAGCTGATATCAGTTTGTGATGTCTGATTTGTATTGGTCATCTTTTTAGTTAACAGCTTTTGAATTTTGTAAAACTAACCTACAAATAGACTAAACAAGAGAACTGCATACAGCACATTATGCGCCATTGACAAACGGTTATACAGCAATGCACAAACAATATTTCGCAATGGCACGGACAAGCAAAGAATTGTATAACTTTATGAATTTTGTTAATGTGTGAACTTTACAAATTTATTATTATTATTATTAAACAAATGCAGCAAGTTAAAATCTTTATGTAGAGTAATTGGCAGAAAAGAGCTTTATCATAGACATTATTTTCTTAAAGTTTTTACACTAATTATGCAACTGTACAAAGATCCAGAACATTTGCAAAACGTGTCACTTAGTTTAGGTCTTTCTTGGAGGAAGATTTTATTAAAGCTCTTTTATTAAAAAAAAAAAAATCACACTAAAACTAAACCTACTTTGATTAAATTAGAGGTTTCAATGCCCAGATTTGCATTCAGTATTCTTGCTCCAAATTTAACACAAGTCTAACAAAACAAAGCTCTTTTATTGCCAAACACTGTGCTAAATTACCTTTTTTTTTTTTATTAAGTTTCAACTTTTTCTTTATTGTGTCAGCTGACAGGTTATTTGCTGGGTTTAGGTTTTCAGTCAATAATCCAGCAGCCACAGTATTAAGGCTTACAAGCTTTGCATATTTGGACAAACGCATGATGTTTTTTTATAGCAATTTACAAAGCAATTCAAAAAATGTGTTGCCTTTGAATAGCTCTAAAAAATCTTTCCATTTAAACATTGCCATTAGTTACAAATTTTTCAATCAACTTTATTGACACGACACGTTTCGAAGGCGAAACGTTTCAGCACAAAAAAAGAAACTGTCCAGATGACCTGACTGAAAAATGTTGGATTTTATACGTGGATTATTGAGCATGGACTTTGTTGTTTATTGACATGGGTTTTACAAATCCCTAATTTTGAAGAAACTTGCTGTGTAAATATCTTTGGAGTACAGTTTTTTTTTTTTTAAATGGACCTAACAGATCGCCAACTAATCATACAAAGAAACAACACAACTGTGAGATAATATAAACAGATTTAAAGTGTGCAGTTGATAACACTGTAGTCATCTAGTTTAGTTAATAACATTTAAAATAAATCTTTATATCACAGATGTGTGATATGATGCATTTCTACACTGTTTCCATTTGGTTTGAGACTTTCTCATCTCTCGACTAAATAAAAAAGAAAAAAAATCAGTAATCCGATGTTATTAAATGTTGTAATGTGAAATGGTTTTGTTGCACCGGGGTCTGAGAGGAATGTAATTTCAATCCTGTGTATGCCCTGTACATATTGCAGTTTTTGACAATAAAGTGACTTTGACTTAATATTTTGTTCCATCTTTCAACTGCTCCCTTCTTCAGGGGTCGCCACAGCAAACTAGCTCGCACAAAGACCTGGCACTTGTTTTTATGCCAGATGCCCTTCCTAATAAAACCACAGACCATTGAGTTACCACAGCCCTCTGTGTGGAACAGAGAGCTGTCATCTGGGTACCCAGGGGAGCAGATGTGGGGGTTAAGAGCCTTGCTCAAGGGCCCAGAGTGGGGCAAATGACGGTGGAAGCAGATGTGGGTGTTTCACCTTTTTCACCAACATTTTGATGTTGTCAGTCTGGGGAACTGAACCGGCAACCTTACAATCACAGGCCCACCTTCTCTAACCTCTGAGCCACCACTCCCCCAATCTGATGTTAATACAAGTTAAAATATTTCTAATCCATGTTGCAGTAAATTACAGATTTGTTACCCATCAGTTAGGCAATTAAAAAAGCTTTAATTGTGCAGTTCAGCAGAGTAACAGGTACACTACGGTTTAAAAAGCTTATATCTAAACACTGAGAGGGGTTGTAAAATGTGGTAAGTTTTGGGATGGGCAAACCACCATAGATTGAATACTTTTTGTTACTGAGGGAAACGTGACTTTTTGGAATGTGCACTTTTCTTTTTATTTTGTTTGTTTGTTTTTTGTTGTGGTGTGAAGAAAATATTCTTGTTTACAAGGTTTGTTGACTTTAATGTGACAACCAGGGCAATAGAGCAGGAAACTTTCACAGCACTGATCACGGATTGTAATTCCTGTTTAGATTACCCGTCAATCCCAGTGGAGGGACGATGCTGACTAACTTGGCAGACAGTCTGTAATTGCGGCTGTCTCACTAAATGACCTACCAACCCACAAACATTTACTTCTTGATTTACTCCAAGTCAAAATCTGCACCGTCGAGACACCGGAGTAATCCACGACTGAGGTTTAGCCCTGTTAATTAAAAACACAGGCCAAGAATAAACAAAATCTCACCTCCAGCAGCCATTAGTGGCCCACATAACGATTGGTAAACTTGACTTTTGCTGTAACATTTTAGTACATGAAGTGATAGAAGATCAGCTATAGTTGCTTCCCGACAGAGGATGTCTGCTCACACTGGAGCTAATGTCGGTGAACGCTGGCCTGCGAGCTGCGAGCTAACATTAGCTAACCGTCAACGAACCAGCGTCTCGGGCTATAACAGCTCATTAAACGTCGTGTCTCCATTAAAATCCTTCAGATGCTGGTTCCTGTGGATTAACTCGCATTATGACAACAATTTATAACACTTGAATTACCTGTATTGCGGACCGGCACCATGTGTGTAACCGAAATAGTTGCTAGCAGCCATCTTTTTAGCTCGTAACTGTGCAAACAGCAGTGAACCCGTCAACCTTTGCGTCAAGATAGTTCACCCCCTCTACTGCTTCTGGACGTTCATCGTTAGTCGACCACCTTAAGATTAAAAAAAGAAAATACTTTATGAATTATATGAAAACAATATATTGTGAATGAAAACATTCTATTTTAAGTGAACATTTTAGTGTGTGGATTTTAACGCATCTCGCTTTGTTTAATTTTACCTAATTTCTGCCGTACACAAAGCGAGCGAATGCGGAAGTAGTTGAAAGGTCTCGATTTGTTTATTTATTTGTTTATTTAACCTTTCGTGATATTTGCTGGATGTCACTGAGGACATTTCCAGATCTTTTCTGTCAGTGGTGTTGGCTTTTTCGTTTTTTATAATAATAATAATAATAATTATTATTATTATTATTATTATTATTATTATTATTATTATTATTATTATTATAAAACTGGCTTTGATAGGATCACTTGAAGAATATAAAAGGATCTCTGAAAATGTGACTGCAAATTGTCTGCAACAAACACAACAAACATAATGCTGGAAGTCTGCAGAGGAGATATGATTGGCTAAGAGCAAGTGATGTAAGGGGATGCATAATTAATATTTTGTGGAGACTTGCAGGTTGGAAAGAGATTGGGGCAAGGAAACAGAGGAGAGAGAGGAGAGGCTCTGGGTGGAGAGAGATGCTGTTGCCATGGAAAGCAGCCACATCGGTTTCCTGTGAAAACAACAGCGGGATTATCCAGTGGAGGAAAGGGACATAAAGACTATCACTTGTTTTCTCCCCCAAAATGATGCTCCAGTGTAGGGTTTCAAATTGATGAAAGTGATATTGCAGGGAGATGAAAACATGTTTGTGGATCCAATTAAAGAGAGAACAGAAGAGTGGCCAGATGAGGATGCCAGAACAGATGCATTCCCATTAAAGGAATTGTGTGTCTTGCTGGGGTGGATATGAGTTGAGAGGCAGGCGGCTCACTCCTCACGGCCAATCTTTCCCCAACAAAGGTGGTCAGGGGCGGAGGACAAGAGGGGGAGTCCAGAACAGAGATTGCCCCTGTCTTCAGGCACCTGCTGCTTGCTAGTCGCTGACACCGAGGATACTGAATGACTTTGTCAGTGCACAAGTAGTGTGTGTGTGCATGTGAATCAATGAAAGACAGAGACATAGAAGGAATTTCAGACGGACCGATGTGTCTCTGTTGATGTGGAAGATCAAGAAATTCTCCCTTGAAATCTTTGTATTTGTTACTGAAGAGCAGAGGCGAGGTCTGGAGGGGATCTGTCATTTTTCAAGTGAGTATTGCAACTGACTTATTCTCTATGCATTTATATTCTGACTGAAAAGACATTAGATGTCTAATAACATGTGAAATAATTTTTCTTTCTATTGGATGCTCTATTTGGGGTGACCTACAAAGGCTGCAGAGCCATTTTCCTGCGCTGGTGATGTGCTGCATATGATTGATTCTGCAGTAATGTCTTTTTCACACGGATGTATTTTCAAGCAGTGCCTTTCACTAACATGTGAATGGTTTGTACAGTTAATGTTGACTTTTTTCCCCACCTTGCTCATGTCATCATCATAAAATGAAGGTCGATTTTTCCTTATAGCATTTTGTTGAAGTCTTCAGTGATCTGAAATTATTGTTTGAATATATCTGACTTTGGTTCCTGATTCACAGCCTTCTAGTCTGTATTAAATTTGGCTTCATAAGTGAGATCTGTTATCATGGTTGTGCTCTTTTATGTGGGCTCACAGATCTTTGAAAACGTCTTATTTCTTCTGTGTGAGCACTGGCAAATTTCCAGTTTGTGTTTTCCCACGAGGGTGACTGCCAACAAAATCATTCTGCTCCTAATAATTATTTCACTGGAATTCATGTTACATTACATTTCATTATCAATAACAGTGTTGACAGAAATCTATTCAATCCATTCGCTTCCCATCATGTTGCTTTATATGCAGCCGTTTCCTCGGGATCTTCTGCTTCCAACTTCAACCTCCATCAGAGACCTGGAAATGATTTGCCAAAGGGAATAATCTCCTCAGCATCACAGATTTCATACATGATAGCAAAACGACAAAAACAACTGTCTTTTTAGGTCTTATTAGACACCCCACATTCAAAACACGACTTGCACCACTGGTAATAACACACCTCTTTGTCTAAATAATGCATCTGGATGGTAATGTTTTATTTATCCTGGAGCAGTGGAGGACCCTTTAATACCACCAGTAAGTTCTCCTTGTTGCACAAAGCCTTTGTCAGATTGTCTCTTCTTTTCATCTTATTAAGGTCAGATGAATGAATATACTTGAAGGGAAGTTTTTTTTTTCTGTAGTGACAAAATACCTCAGTGTGATTGAAAATCAAAAGGCAACAGTTTTGCTAGATCAAAAACCAGTGAGGTCGGATTAGACCAGAATGTTGTGCTCCATGCCATAATCCTGAAATGTATTTGTAACATTTGACTTGAGGGGGAAGCTGAGACCAAGAAAACAGTTCGTCACATGTCTCTCACATGTGCTTCTGTGGGCAGGATGGGTGCAAAACACATGATTTTAAGTAGTTTCAGAACCTTACTGTGATGAAAAGAAGTAAATTATAGTGAAAGCCTCCCATTTTACTGTTTTCCCCTTTTTTGTTGTTCAAGACAGAAACATGCTTCTGCTGGTCATCCATTCAGCCTGAAACACACTAACAGTATAAGTTCACTTTTCACTTTAAATGTTAATTAATCATCAAAAATGTATCTTCACTTCTCCAGGCTCCTGCTCGCCTCTCTGAGGGATGGGCACCACTGAGGCGACTCTACGAATGGAGAACATGGAGGTAAAAGACGAGTGGCAGGATGAAGACTTCCCCAGGTGAGATTTCTTAATTTGATGGGGTTTTTTTTAAAACTATCCTATCAAAGCTACAGAGACGTCAATAACTGCACACTGTGGTGAAAAAAGTGTGATGACACAACAGAGTACAGCAATGTTTTGTCTCTGTACCAAGGTTTTGAGTCAGTCTTTATTTTTTTTACATATTTAGCTTCTAAAAACTGTTGTGTAGTCATTTAATCAATAATTTGAGATGGTTCCCCAGATTACACACTTTTGCAGCTTTTTTTTTTATTTGTTTTAAATCCAGTACCTAAGCATTTTCAGAGAAACTGTGTTTGTTGTTTGCTTGTTTGTTGAGGCCAGTGGTTCCCAACCCTGGTCCTTGAGGAACACCATCCTGCATGTTTTAGCTGTTTCTTCTTATTCTTCTTCTGTGAGGTTTTACGGCAGCTTACATTCCTCAAGGTGTATTACCGCCATCTAAAGGTACTACTTAGAACTAGTAAGTGCTCCGATAAACTTAGATTCTCTTGTATAAACCTGTTGTCCTCAGGAAATACATAAAGTATTTGCATCCATGTTTACTGGATCCCCATTCTAATATGCTCTTCAAACATATAGGACTTGTTACGTCATTTGTCATTTGGTCCAGTAGACGTTTCCTTTCGGTTGAATATTTTAAACAGTCCAAAATAACATGTTTCACAGTTTCTGTACTTTGGCAAAAGTCACAATGTCCACTATTATGTTTCCCTATAATAAACAAAGTACTGTTCAGATTTGTATGACCTATTCTTAATCTTGCTAATATAGATCCCTCTCTCCTATTTCCTCCACAATACCTGGAACTGTAGACTGTATTCTGTATTGCATATAGTTGTCTTCCCCTTGTTTCATGTTCCCACTTCTGTTGCCATAACTGATTAATATGCTTCCATACAATACTTTTACCTTCTGTTTTGCATAATTGGATATTTATGTCTACATTGTCTATATTATTAGCATTTTTAGCAATCTGATCAGCCTTTTCATTTCCCTGAATCCCTCTATGTGCAGGTACCCACATAAACACAATACTTCTTCCTTCCTTGACCAGCTGAGAATGAACAATCTTAGTTCTGATTAATAAATCCAGTCTTGATTTTGAAGTTCCTGATTTTAGCTGTTTCCCTTTGACACGCATGATTTGAATGATTTGGTGATTAACGAGCTTCAGCAGAACTTAAGAAAGCAATTAAATCACTGAATCAGGTGTGTTGAAGCAGGGAAACAGCTAAAACATGCAGGATGGTGTTCCTCAAGGACCAGGGTTGGGAAACACTGGTTTAGGCCACTTCATTTTTGCCCCATGAATAATTCAGGCTCCTAAACTCAAGGGGATAACCTGTGTTTTTTTGTTTGTTTATATAATTATTAAACAAGTTAAAAATAAATCAATAATTGCACTTTGTTACCAGCAGCCTGCCACAAAAATATAAATTTGTTCTACAGTATTTTCTTTGGTTTAATCGATGAAGAATAACATGATTTGACTGAAACAACTACAAAAAAAAATTTTTTAAAACAATTACACTCCAACAAGAGGATTATCAGAGTCATTAGCTGAAATCAGCTGAGGATGATCATTCTATCTCAGGTCTTTGACAGAACTTGATTTTTTAAGACATGACTTTCAGATACTTTTCATCTGCTGGAGGAGAGGTTTGTGGTTTTTGTATACATTTTCTTTCATTCTGGATGGGACTTTTTTTTTTTTTTTTGCAACAGCCATTTAGAAGATCTAAGATCTTCAGTTACTTGTCTGCTCCAGTGTTTTTCAGCCTGCCTGCCTCTCTCACCTGCCCCCAGTCAGCTCAGGTGCCTCCAATTACCTCTGCTTTATTCAGTCTCCTTCCACCTCCACCTCAGCAGTGCCTTGTTCCATTCCACATAAGGTTTGGCTTTCCTTTGCTTCTCATTCATCATATGATCATCTTGAGTTTTTGATGTGGTGCCTTGCCAGCCTTTATTTTCTGTTAAAGGAAAGTTTGATGTTTGGAACTCCTTGAGTCTATCCTGGGTCCAGTCTTACCACAAACCTGACAGACGAGGGCTGAATGACTGCTGAACATTGTTGAAGATGAAACCAAAATCTTCAACACTTAGCTCAAACTAAAACATGCCATCTAAAAGTAGCTAAATGCATCAAAACACTAGCTAAAAGCTACTGGTATTAAAAGGCTGACTAAAAGCTTAAACACAGCAGTAGATAAACCATTGCATTACCTAAAAGTAGCAGAAGTTTGGCTTAAGTAAATAGAATGGTTTTTGACTGAAGTGATCCTATTGAATGACTAGGAGAAAATGGTAAATGGAAATGGTTAAAAATACATCATTTGCTGAATGAGTCTGAGTATTTTGATATAATTGGCACAAAGAATACAAAAAGTTAATTGCAAAAATTACGTAAAATTAACAGGAAAAGAAGAATAGTTCAATTTAGTTTATTAGTGTGAAAACTGCATTCACAGAGTTAAAGCAGTCTTCGAAGATCAAGTATAGTTCAGAAACAATGGGTGTTTTGTCAGGACACAGAGCAGGAGTTGTGGTGTGAGGCTCCATTCCCCCCCCCCCCCCCCCCCACTCCTCTCATCCCTCCCTCATCATATGGGGAGGAATCAAGGGAGCAGGTGCAGCTCTGTCTGTAAATAGTCTTAGGCTACGTCATGTGATGCAGCAGCAGTCAACAACACCACTTCAGGAAAATGGAGGCAGGTTTTGGCTAAAGACAGAAGAACATCCCGGAGCGGCTGGAGGACACTGAGGGATGCTCGGCGTGTCAGAGATGAGTAGGGAGGACAGGGAATGAGTAAGCAACTCAAACCTAAAGGTCGAAAAGCAAGTTTGCATCAGCGCTGACAAAAGCAAGCAGCTCCGTGCTCTCTGCTCCAGGTAGGCTTGACTTGTTCCAATTTGACAATGAATCCATCGAAAGGAAGAGATGAGCTTGTTTCGTTGAAAAATAAATCTCCTGCAGTAAGTTTGAATAGAGCAGCCTTTATTTTTGACAGGAGAAGCTTTGCACCAGTTATCCCTGCAGGCAGAAGCCAATATTGTGGATTCAGGAGGAACACACAGTCACACACCATCCTCCTATTAGCTTTCACCGGACTGCAGCTAAAACTGATGACTGCTCTGCAGCCCTCTGCAGCTGTTTAAACCAGATTACGCTTTGCAGTTCCTCCTTTTCACTGATCCATTACAAACATGCGTGTGTGTGTGCATTTTCTCTATTTGGCCTGCACAATATTCAACACAAACACAAAGATTTTGACTCAGTGTTTGAGTCAAAGACAAGCGAGACCTGTTTTTGTCTTTCATTTCTTGCTTTTTCTCCTGTTTCTCCTCCCCTCCCTCTCTGCTGTGACTCCCACCCTGCCCGGCAGCTCAGTAATCTGCAAGTTTCCCCAAGAGACAGGTGGAGCTCGACTGTCTTCTGCTCCCAGATCAGTGATAACACCCACTTCTTGACGGGTTCATTGAACAGTATCCTAATTTTATTTTTCTTTTGGCTGCTCCCTTTGTCCTGGGTCGTCACAACAAACTAGCTTGCACAAAGACTTAGCAATTGTTTTTTACACCAGATGCCCTTCCTGATATAACCACGGAGCTACCACAGCCTCTGTGTGGAGCAGAGAGCTGCCTTCTAGAGTGCCAGGGAGAGCAGATGGTGGGAATTAAGGGCCTTGCTCAAGGGCCCAGAGTGGAGGCAGGTGTGGGTGTTACACCTTTCCCAACCACATTCTGATATCTATCCGGGGGGCTTGAACCTGCAACTTTCCAGTCACAGGCTCGCCTTCTCTATCCTCTGTGCCATGCAAACAGTATCCAAATTACAAAACTTAGTTTAATAAAAAAGGTTTAAAACATGCGGCTTGTGTTTTCTCTGCAGACCTCTACCAGAGTACGGAGACATGGATCTCAGCTGTGGTCTTACAGACAATGGAGTGTGTGAGTAAAAGTCAAACACCACTGAATTTAAACCGAAACAACACAACATGTGGCATAATGTCGAGCTGCTTCTGCTTCATCCCCCCTGCTGTAGCTCTTCCTAACTCGCTGCATGTGAGCCCACCTGGAGGTGGAGGAGGTGTCTCATCTCATCGTAAACGGAGGACACTGGTTGCCCCGGAGATGAATTTGTCCTTGGATCAGAGTGAAGGTTCTCTGCTGTCAGATGATTTCCTGGACACGCCGGATGACCTGGACATCAACGTGGACGACATCGATACTCCGGATGAAACTGACTCACTGGAATTTATAACTAACGGGAACGACCTGGAGTGGGAAGGTAGGAGGCCAAAACTACCCAGTCTGTACTTTGGGACAGGAAACTGGTTTAAATGGGAATAATGTAACAATGTTGAATTTGTTTTTGGTTTAGTTGGCAATGGATTGGTTTGTGTGTGTGTGTTTCTTTTAAGTATTTGTCCAAAATATATATTGAAGACCAAAACTTTTATTTGAAATAGTCAAAAATCTGCAACACTTATTCTAATCTGGGTCTAATAAACATTAAAACTTTAGCTTGTTCTTTGGCAGAATTATCACCGACTCCCAAATGATAAAGGTGAAGAATATTTGTCTACCAAAATAACTCAACCACTGAACAATATTAACAAAACTTGCAGAAAGTAATTAATGCATGTGCAGCTATAAGTGATTAACTTCGAAGTTAAGATGGCTGCAACAACAAATTGACCTTAAATTAAACAAAAGGGCTGTAACTAAGTCAATTTTACAGATTGCAATCAAATTTGGTGTACAAGTAGCTCAGAGTAATTCATAACACATAAATGTGACGTAGCAGTAAGTTTTAACCAAAACTGTGCAACTGTTCCTCACCATAAGATGATCTTAAGCTAAAACTCTGTTATGAAAGATGGCGGGCGATGCGCATTTCTTTAAGTAATGCTAGACCTCTTCATCTGAAATGAATCCTTTAACTTTTTGTTAAAAAATAAACTTAGTTTTCTGGTTGTGTTTTTTAGTAACGCCTTCATGATTGTTCACAAAATACTGTATGAAAAGATGCTACATGCATAAATTTAAATTTGTCCTCGTCCAGATGATACGCCGGTGGCCTCGGCCAAAGCAGGTCCTGCTGATGGCTCGGGGGGAGCGGGTGAGGATGGAAATGCCAACTGCGGGCGTCTGTGGAGAACGGTGCTCATCGGGGAGCAGGAGCATCGTATCGACATGCAGATCATCAGACCTTACCTGCGGGTGATCACACATGGAGGTCAGTGTCAGCCTGGGGAGGACTCTTCAACATTTGTGCAACAAATCTCCCAGAAACATCTGAAACGTTCTTCACTTGACTCCCGTCTTTCATCAGGCTATTATGGAGAAGGCCTGAACGCCATCATCGTGTTCTCTGCTTGTTATCTGCCTGACAGCGGCTGTTCAGACTACCACTACGTCATGGAAAACCTCTTCCTGTACGAACCGAGCTGACATCGACGCTCTGCACTTGTATACAACAGCTTTGATAGAAAGTGATGATAAATCCTCTGACCTGCAGGTATGTGGTTAGCAGCCTGGAGATGCTCGTGGCTGAAGATTACCTGATCATCTACATGAATGGAGCCACTCCTCGGAGTAAGATGCCCGGGATCAGCTGGCTGAAGAAATGCTACCAAATGATTGACAGGAGGTAAAAGGAAATGAACGTGAAAACTGTGGAGGGTCCTCCTCCCCATTTATAAAACGGTTCTCCAGCAGCAAAAGCATGATGCTGATGTTGTCAGGAGAGAGCAATGAGAAGTTTCACACACAATGATTTGACGGTGACTCACGGCCTCATTTACAGCCACACGGACTCGATTCATATCAGTAATGTTTGATTTCCTCTGTGCTCTGCATAGATTCACTTTAAACTCACCCAGCAGTGGCTCCTTACTAACCAGGGGTTTTGTTTGTGTTGGGAGCAGACTGAGGAAGAACCTGAAGTCGCTGGTCATCGCTCATCCCACGTGGTTCATCCGCACAGTTCTAGCTATATCCAGACCTTTTATCAGGTAATGACAACAATCCAAGTGCTGAACTCTTCTGTTAAAATCCTTCTATGCAGTAAAGGAACATGTAGCTTTTTGGTTGAACATTGTGCAGAAATAATGATCTGTTGTGTTAGGAATGACTCCCAGCTACTACCACGTTTAATTTCAGCTGAATATCTGTAAATTTGACAGAGTTGTATTGAATGTTTGCTTAGGTCAACTAGCTGTGGCAACCATCTTGAATTGGACTGACTCCATAAAAATGAGTATTAAATGTACAGCTAGTGGATAGTTTCTAAAAGTTTCTCTGAGATCTGTCCAGTGGTAAAGATTTTGCTAACAGACATGTTGACTTGAACAGTAATTTACGTTTTTAGCGTAAACATTCTACAATGTGTAGAGATCAAAATATGTTAATGACTTTCAGCTACCGTTACACCAAGTTTTAGGTATTTTAAAGCCATTTTTGTGTTACTCAACGTCAGTTGGCTTTGGTAGCCATCTTGCTTTTGGTTAACTCCAGAAATTAATTTTGTAGCTGTATACACAATGATCACTTTACGAGTTTCCTTAAAAGTAATTCAAATCAAATGAACACATGAACATTTTCCCTTTTTGTCTTCAGTGATATGTTGACAACTTATAGTGTCCCAATATGTTGAATGTCTTGGACATTAGGACTGAGTGACTGGCTGAACTTTAGTGAACTCAAATCAAGCGTGGTACAAATAAATACCAGCCCACATTTACCTGGTCGTGCTTAAACTCGGATCATTGCACATTTCCATCCCCAAGAAAGGCTGGTTTCAAAACTAAACTACTGGTTTAACAGATCAAATAAAAAGGTGTGCTGATGCCGAAATGCTTCCAGATGTGCTGACACCCATCTTGATATACAGATTTAGTCAACTGAAACGATATGATCTCGTGTTTTGCTTTGAAATGACTGTTCACACAGTAAATAAACTAACCACTGCAGTTGCCCCTGTTTCCCTCCACAGTGTGAAGTTCATGAATAAGATCCAGTATGTGCACGGTCTGGATGAGCTTGCACACATTGTCCCCATGGAGCACGTCCATGTTCCTGAGTGTGTGGTGCAGTAAGTATTTTTCTCCTCTAGGTGGCGAACATGAGCTGCAGCAGAGCATGTCTGCAGTCTGGCTGTGAAGGACTAATGTAAATCTAACAAAGTCTACTGGGATTTTATTTTAAAAAACGTAAAATGAAATTAAGTTTCCAGTTCTGGGAAAATGTTTAGATTAATGGATTAAGTTTGATTTAAGGATCTAACAGTGTAACTCTTTTTATGTTTAGATTTGATGAAGAGAGGATTAAAGCCCGAAGGGAAAGGTAAAATAAATTAGTTATCTATTTTTGATAAAGATTACTCACCTTCATACATATTACTTAAACTGGATTGAAATGAGGCTAAAGCACTCATCTGAATTCATTGGTTTAACAAGAATGCCTCTGGATTCTCTGAAAAACCTGGCGACAGCAATACTGCCTACAGAAACAATGTATGGTGTGTGTGTGTGTGTTTTGTATAGGATGGAGCGGGAGCAGGGTCAGCAGACAGTCCCACAGGAGCCAATTAAAAAGTCTGAAAGGTAGCAAAACATCCTGAATCTTTATTTTACACGCAGCATAATTTACCACAGGGGGATTTGAAAGTTAGTCAGGATGCAAATGTGGGTCATAAAACACACAGTGGGAGCCCAGATGGATTCCAGGGTGCAAATATAACTTTTAAAATCAAAGTATTGTTTCCTCATTTCATCATGCATGAGCAGCAACATCTGTTTGCTTCAGCATTTATAGATGGGAGTAGGGGTTGAATGGTCGACTAGTTGATTCTAGGCGATCTCACGAGCACAACTCCACAGGTTTCTTTTAATTTTATTATCTGAAAAAAATTAAAATAAAAACAGGGGACGCACCACCACCAGTTGATAATCCACCACTGCCGCGTGGTTTATTTTATTTAGTAGATTAAATAAAATTAAACTAACTCTTGCAGCTTAATAATAGTTTTTGTTTTCCTGTTACTTATTTGCAGTATGATGAATGGTAGTAGCATAAATATATGCTCCTGATGTTTTGTCGTTCTTTTTTTGTAAATAATAAAGAATGTTTTTTTGTGAATAGCATCTTGAGTTCCTATGATGTCATATCGACTAGTCGACGGCGACTTTTCTCATGTTGAAGTCAACTTAAAAAAATATGTAGTCGTTCAACCCCTAGTTGGGAGTCACAAGTTGTTTTCTGAGTTTGGGGGAGTGGTGGCGCAGAGGTTAAAAGATGGGCCTGTGATCGGAAAGTCGCAGGTTCAACTCCCGGTACCGTCGACATCAAAATGTGGGTGGAAAAGGTGGAACACCCACACCTCCCTCCACCCTCATTCGCCCCACTCTAGGCCCCCAAGCAAGGCCCTCAACACCCACCATCCGCTCCCTAAACAGGTCTCTCTTGAAAATGAGTTCTCGTGGCTCAATGAGACTACCTGGATAAATAAAGGGTAAATGAAACAAAAAAAAATGTTTTCTGAGTCTGAAATGGAAAATTATGTGAAAACTGCATTTTTAGGTTTCTTATCTTAAAATGTTTGTGTCATTTTTATCATTTTCAGGCCAAACTCAATGATTGCAGGGTTGTGAGAAGGACAGAAGTGTGAAGGTAATATGAACGGCTGCTGTTTTCCTGTTTTAGCCACAAGATGACTCTGTGCTGCAGTGGGTTAATCTGGTCACCCAGCAGGCTCCAGTTTACACACCCTGTCTGTATAGAGTTACACATTTCTGCAGAGAAAATTATCATGAATATCCTGGCTCATTTTGTCACTGTAGAACAGCTGTGGGCAATGTTTGCCCCCCGTCCCAGAGGGGCAAATCAAGATATTTAAAATGACTGAAAAGCCGTAAAGTGAACTGGATTTTTTTTTTCCAAGACAGATAATCTGGAAAATTTATAAAAAAATTTAGTAGCATAATTAGCATGCTCGAAGTAAATGTCTCCCATGTCCTCTTTAGAAATGGAAGATGTACTTTTTGTAAACTAGCTCTTGTGACAATATATTTGAAAGTTTTTAAGGTTCGGTCTATTTCTAGAAACATAACTTAAAAAAAAAAAGTTATAATAATTTTATCATAAAGTTGAAAATGATTTTCACTCTTTTCTGTCCACAGTCCACAGAATCCACACCGCCTCATATTTTGCTTAACCAACCTGCAGCTGAGGTTTGTCACTGTTTTCCAGTCGAGACGAATGCTCTATTCCATAATATTCATCCCATCAGGAAGTCCTTTCTGAAAGGGTTTCCATACGTCGGTTATTAAAATGTCCAAAGGGAATGAAGATCCTGATTGAAAAACTGTTCACTTCTGGAAGCTGTTTCTTACTTGACATGCAGCAACGGCTCATTTTATAAGTTTGGGGGTTCCTTCTCGCAGCATCGCTGTGGATTCTGCTTTTCCTGCTGTAGTTTCAGTTCAGGCAGGTTAGAAGCTCGTTTCTCGTTTGATTCAGAAATCAGGATCTGAGCATTTCACAGCTCCTAAATGCAGCATGGTTCTTCTGCAAAGAGTTTGAACATGAACAATCTGTAAAGGTCTGTTCACATTCAGGTCACAAACTGTGGCAGATGTAGCAAAAGTTTCAAAATGTGACAATGCATTTTATTTTTTATCTAAATGTATAGGTGTGAATTTGTTCTCTCTGGGTTTGAAGTTTCCTTTTAGTCCCGTCCACCAGGCCTGAAGCGTTCCTCCATTTTGTCGATTTTACTTCTGTGTTTTCTAAGCCAGAATACTCTCATGACAATTATCAATAATATATCTATCAATTTTTAATTTTGGGGGGTGTTTTTTCCATTGTTGGCGCCTTTTCTAAAAATGGTCTTGTATGGGGAACATTTAATGTCAAATTGTCTGTCATAAGTTACTTGAATACATTTCAGATGAATAAAATGGATGCAGATGGAATTGAATTGA